GAGAGAGAGAGGGAGAGAGAGGGAGAGAGAGAGAGGGAGAGAGAGCACACGGGGGTCTGGGCTGCCTCTGTCCTCTGCATTCTTCTCAAACACCATCCACTAGCCACATTCCAAACCCCTACAGCTGAGTGAAAGGCACTTACCACGTTGTTTTCCATGCAGACTGACTTGGAAACCAGCCCTGGCTTTCTGGTCCCATCACATGAAATTTTGCCCATCCAGTTGCTGTTCTTTTCTATTCTGTGAAGAATAACCCAGGGAACACAGTTTGGATGTCTATCAAACAGCTGAGCCATAGGGGAGGGAGGCATGGAGGAGGAGGGAAGGTGAGAGAAACCCCATGGCCTTCTGTCTACAGCTCTCGCTCACGCCTTTTCAATGAGATGACTTGGGCCAAGAAGTCTAAGCCTCATGAAGACTGAGAATGGAAAAATATTCTCCAGAACATTCTTTGTGTGGCATACTCATGGGAACTGGCCAAAGGCACATGGGGTCTGCTTTTTTAAAATGTTCTGTGTATGAAAGAGGCCTTTATCCTTCATTGAGAATTCTCTCTTTTGCAGCAATATAAGCTAAAATGTGAGTTTATGGAAGAAGGCATTTACTATTTAGGCTTCTGGGTGAGAATTTAGTCCTCCCTGGACTGAGAGGAAGCTAATGAGGATTGCTGCTGTCATCTTCTTCTGGTTGTGGACACCAAGAGAGCACTGTGTGAAGAACTGAATGCTGGGGTCATGGGCTATCTTCCCTCAGAGGCTTATACTTTGGGTCTGTAATACTGTTGTGTGCCTGGGTCTTCCTCTAACACAGTGTTCACCTCCCCATCTTAAAGCACAGTTCCCAGTGAGGAGGACATAGAGCTGCTGGCCCTTTCCCAGTGTGATCTAGAATAGAGGTGGCTTCTGAGAGCCAGGTGACAGCCACCCCTGATGTGTTGACACTCTTGTCATAGAACGAGCTCTTGACATGTTTTTAGAACATAGCCTACTAACTAAGCTCTCCCAGGCAGAAGAATAGCTCTTCAAGGTAGGGGTGCACATTATGAGTTGTAGGGAGGTTGAACTTCAAGAAATTCAAAAGCAAAGATGAGGATTTTTTTTCATAATAGATCTTCCTCTCTCCTTCCCTCCCTTCTTCCTTCCCTTCCTCTCTCCCTTCCCCCTCCTTCTCTCCTTCCTTCTCTCCTTCCTTCCCTTCGTACCTCCTTTCTTCCCTCCCTTCCTCTCTGTCCTAGTTTGTTCTTCACTGCTGTGACAAAATGCTCTGACCAATACCAACTTGGGGAGGAAAGGGTTTATTCAGCTTACATCTCCCAGGTAGCAGTTTATCAGGGAGCCCAAGGTAGGAACTCAGGGCAGGAACCTGCAAGCAGGAGCTGGAACACAGGCCACGGAGGAACGCTGCTTACTGGCTTGCTCTTCTGGCCCCTGCTCAGCCTGCTTTCTTATGCAACACAGGCCCACTGCCCAGGGGTGGCACCACCCACAGTGGGTTGGTCCCTCCCAAATCACTCATCAAGAAGATACCCCTCAGACATGGCCACAGGCCAGTTCAATAGAGGCAATTCCCCAACTGGGGCTCCCTCAACCCAG